CTGAGATACGAGTTTCATCAGTATTGGTTGGATTTTCGGATCAGTTTTACGCGGTTGTGACAGTGTCGAAGTTGCAAACAGACGCTTGCTGACTGGCCTCAACAATGCAGATGATATCGCCCTACTAACATCAAGTCAGAATGACTTCCATAATGTAGCGTTGCAGGTGAACGAACTTACGAAACTGTTCGGTTTAACCTTGGATGCTAGGAAGACAAGAGAGTCGTCAAGGTCAGGGCTTCTGTCCTCGATCTGACGCCATTGCCCACCTGAAAGCGTCTGAAGGTCACTGAAAAGCAGACCCAATAGTTTGTAAAAACATGGTGGACCCGGAATTTCAATATTCGGCCTTCGAATTTGCTGCTACAGACCGTCACGCGTGAAGGGGGATAATCCGCGACATCATCGAGATCGCCTAGAGGATTACAGTCGTATCAAGTACAGTTAAGTAGCCCACTTTCTGGAATCGAGATGAACCACGTCTCTTTTCCATGAAAAGTAGATCAGAAAGGGCTAATACTGAAGTGAAGGCGAGGAAGAACCCAAAAGATGCAGCTGATGATTTTTGTTGGGCGAGGAAAACGTCACAAGAAGTAACCTAAATTTTTTTTAAACAGACTCTACCCACACGGCGGGTGATTATCAACACTAAGTAGCAGAGAGGAGCTCACCTATAGTGCTGTGACAGATATAGTAGTATGCTGCAATCATGCCAAGATTCAGCGGCGAAAGATCCATTTCGTCCTCGATGGCGATACATTTTGACTGTTCCAGGTCTGTCAGTGTGGTTTCCACAAGCTCACTCAGGTGATCACTCAAATGGCGGTGAGTCACACCCTACAACGGGAAAGAACTGAATGCTTTTTCGGGCAACAACAACACAAAGGCATGCATCAGTGGCAATGGCACACAAGTAGTTTGGTTGCAATTATATCATGCATAGAGAAAGAAAGCCCCCTTAATCTGAGAGAAAATTGAGTTGCAGTTCTCAAAAACATAAAACACTGGAAAAGTAAGCGCAAAAAAGACCCGCCGTCTCGACCAAAAGATTGCCTAAACAGCTGAGCGAAATAATTGAGGGCGAAACCTTCATTATGTGCATATAAAGCACCATCGCTAACCTGCAGGTTATAGTAGTTGGCGTTCTGGGTCATTCGTTGATACAAAAACGTCCAGGTCAGATAGTCCACGGCGTCTTGTTTATTCTCGATCGTCTTAGTGACAATCTCCGCATTGAAATGGTCATGAAGCTCATGATCCAGGTGGGATTCAATCGGCAAAGGGTCATGAAGGAACTTCTTCAGATAGTCCCGTTTACCCGTCTGACAGTAGATGATGGCTCTAGAGCTGGTATCCACACTCGGCCGATTGGCTCTTCCAATCATCTGAATCATATCAACAATAGAATAGTCCTCGTAGGCGTGAATCTTTCCATTGTAGTCCTGTGTGTCCATAATTAGGACCAGGTAGGCAGCAACGGGCTGACCGTTGGAGGATGCCGAAGACCAGGCAAGATCACGGGACATAACAAGGGTGTGCAGGGCACCCGCGGCGAACAGAGCTTCCACCAAACGACGATCGTTCTTGCTGAGGGCGCGGTGCAGGTAGGCGACGCCACCACCATGTCGTAGGATCTCAGCCAGAGCCGTGTCCGAGATCTGCGCAGCAGCCTTTTCCAATGCTTCTTCCAGCTGGCCCGACAGGGCAATGAATTTGGAAGTCTGTTGGCTGGTGTTGGCAGTGCTGGCCGCTACTGCACTGGCTGCCGCG